CCCCCCCCCCCCCCCCCTTTATACCTGTGACGTCGTTATTCGCTGACAACCTCACGGTCCTCATCTGGGCCTCGTGGGCCTCGCTGAAAGCACTCACTGACACAATACAAGTCTTTGTAGTAGCAGCGGACATGAAGGTTAATTGGGGGATAAAGACAGAGGGCTGGTGGCTATCCCCGCAGGATGCCCAGCCCCCGCAAGACCCACCGGTCAACTGGCGACTAAGGGAAGATGCGAGAAGAATTCTACGTGTTCGCCTAACAGTGCTGGCCCCCCCAGAAGATCACGGGCAAGTTCTGGTTCAGACAGCCCTGCAAAGACTGGCCAAATGGGATGACCTCCACACATTGCTTATAGGAAGAGCCCTTGTAATAAACAACGCTGTCCTCTTCACCATTTGGTACAAGACAACTTTCAAGGAGATCCCAAAGAAGCAACTTGCGCATCTACGTGTGGCACTGGCAGCCGACCTTTGGAGGAACGACCATGAGCTCACCTGATGCATCAAAAGAGTCGCATGGAAATACGTAACACAACCGAAGAAGTTTGTGGGATTGGGCATCCTAGACCCGGGGGATGAGATTAGAGCCTTGATGTTCAACGTAGTCATCCGCCTCTTGTTAGCAAACGATGTGCCATGATTGTCGCTGGCATACATAAAATTGGCGCACCTTGCTCTCCCGTCACACCCGGACCATCCAATTCATCCCCTTAGCTGGCTGACCAACGCTGCCTGGTCCCTGCCAAGTCCCCCACGCCACAAGGGGGAAAGATCACACCGGGACAGATTAAGATGCGACCTTAAAAACGACCCTCTTTGGCCGTTGATGCTGGAGCTGTGGAGGCAGATGGGAACGACCAAGAAAACCCCCCTGCTTAGGTGACAGAAAATGTTTGGGAACCGGTTCATTTGCGACAGTGGCAGGAAGCCCGTCTCCCTGGCTGTGAATTCCCATTGGCTAACATGGGTGCAAAACAGACTGTACACCCTTGGGGACCTGTGGGGCGGAAGACGGCGCAGAATCTGCGCCCCACCCTGAAACATATCAAAACAAGCCGACGCAAGCTGCAACAAATACAAACGGCTGTTCCACCTCAGTGGGTAGCCACTCTGCAGGAAGGGCCGGCGCTGCAAGGCCTCGACAGGGTCATACAGGCTACCCCCGACCCGATCCATATGACTATCTTCAGGGTGTCACACGTCACACACCAACAGGTGAAGCTGCATGCCTATGAGCCAGATGTGTCGGGGGCGAATTGGGCCTCCCTAAAAACGGCGCCTTCTGTGAACTCTGGGTTGATCCTTGCAGTAAGATGGCGGAGGTGCTTGAAAATGGGAAATTGACCTGGAAGAACTGGGTGGCACAGGACAACCAGTGGTCCTACCAGAGGGCAGAATGCTTTCCTACACCGCTGCCAGGCCAAACACGGGGTGCTATGGTAGTGGTGCGTCCAGCACCTGACCTAAAAACCCGGGCCCAGAATGGAGCAGCCTCCCTTGCCCACCGGACCAGCGCAATTCCCCCTAACGCCCACTCAGATATGACCCCCCCTACCGCCCGCCTCTCCCCCCGTCACCCCGTCGCGCCCCCCACCACCGCTGTCTCACCCTCGCCTCTTTACCCCACCACCACCTCTGACTTCTCCAGTGGACCCCCTCCCCCTCCCCTTCCCTGCAGACACTCCACTGGTCACCCCGTCCCTGCCCCCTTCGCCCGCAGACAGTCCTCCACCCCTCACACTATCCCCCCCTCCCCCGGTTCCCCAGGACTCTCCGCCCAACAACCCCGCACCATTGTCCTCTCCCCCGTGCCCTCGACATCTCATCTGGCCAGCCAGGCACCATGGGGTGTTGTTACATACTTCAACGAGTATGGGCAGAACCAAAGATCAACCAATGTAGGATGAGCATATATGCAGCGGAAGTCTGATAAACGGACTGACTCACATAGACTGACTCACATAGATATCACTCCACACACATACAATCGTGAGATGGTGGGGTCTGAGCCATACATAGACGATGCTCAGCCCCGTACACACATACACAGATGAAGGTGGGAGGAGAGACGAAGGAGGTGGGGGATGTAGGTAGCACCAGATGTCACCGAGATAGAAACCAGTAGGTCGACGATATGGTAATCCAAAATGTCATCGAACAAGATCAAAATGTCAGGGACAATAAGTCATCAATGTCGGAGATACAGAGTCCTAATGTAGCCGATGTCCAATCTGTGATGCAGCCGAGTATCATCCCCAACAATCTCCAAGTCTCAAACCCGGTAAGTACCACAACCTCTTACTACCGAAGTCCAACACTGATCTTTGTCCAACTAGTATCCAGTATCCAATCTGAAGAAGAAGAAGAAGAAGTCTGAAGAAGAAGAAGAAGAAGAAGTCTGAAGAAGAAGAAGAAGAAGTCTGAAGAAGAAGAAGAAGAGAGTCGAGGAGGAGAGGGAGAGAGAGGGGACTGACGACGGGAGGGAGGAGAGAACCTCTGGCTCCCGATACCTCAGGCGGCTATGGCCGCCGATCTTGCTTAGTCGCCGCTGCTGCTGCTCCGCTCGCTGCCGCTGCTGCGCTGCTCCTCGTGTATTGCGCTAAACTTAGCGCTAGCGCTCTGGCGCTAGACCTCAACGCACCGCGTAGACTGCCGGTGGTTCGATCCCTGGAGTGAGGCCGGACCGGTACCTTTGTACCGGTGGGGCAGAGGCCAGCCTCTATCCTGCGAGGCCTGCCCGTGCCCTGAACCATCCAGATGGACGGTTCAGCCCCAACCGGCGGGCGGCAGCCTCAAGAGCGTCGTCAGGCCCAAACGGTAATGTCGTTTGGGCCTGCCCGTCGGGTCTGGTCCAAGATGAGGCCTTTACGGCCTGTAGTACCCTAAGGTCGGGCCTTTAGGCCCTAATGTGTCCCTCTGGCCCTAAGTCGGGTCCAGTAGGACCCGTGTGGCGTCGAAGATGTAACACACTCCCCCTCTTAAAAGACCGAGCTTCTTGCGAGGGCGAAGTTGTCTGTCCGATACCGGGATGGGTCGGGTGGGACGAGCTGCTTCCTTGGCAAGGCGTCGCTTCTCATAGTCGGCAAAGATAAGGGGTGCAGAAGTCTGCAAGTCTGCACTAGAGATCCACCGAGTGTCGTCAGGCGCACATTGCTTGAATGTGACTTTGTACTGCATTGGCTTGTTGCCATACTTGCGGTGCGTGATGACTCGGTCCACTTCCTGATGTCCGTCCATAGAAGGCAGATCCTGTGATCGACGGCCGGGGAACTCGTCGGTAGAAGGTGGTGTGTAGATGGCCAGCTTCGACGCGTGGAAGACCCGGTGCACTGTAAGGTGTGGAGGAATGTTGATCACGAAGGAAGGACCTGCGGGGTCGTCTCCAACGGCAGAAGTGACTTCCCATGGTCCGAACCATTTCGGAAGGAGTTTGCACGAAACGTCCTGCTCGAGCGCAAATTCCTCGGAGAGGACCCAAACAAGGTCTCCCTCGCGGAAAGGACATGGAAGTCAACGTCGTTTAGCTTGCTGTTGCATGTGGATTTGAGCCTTTTGCATATTTGTGCGGGCTTTGATCAGCAAGTCCCGGTACTTCCGAACGGAAGCGGGAGAGCAAGGGACGTCTATGTCGGCAACCTGTGGCAAAAGGAGATCARCGAAGATCCGTGCTTTCTCTCCACTATGATGTAGCTCGAATGGTGTGACACAGATCACCGGATGCACCGAAGTGTTATAGGCGAACTCGATGTCGAGAAGCTGGTCAACCCAATCTTTCTGGTCGGGACGGATGAGCGTATGCAACATCATCTGAGCGGTCTGGTGCGCTCGCTCCGTCTGACCATCCATCTCCGGGTGCCGAGCCGAGCTCGGCTTCATTGTCGTACCGGACTCAGCCATGAAGGAAGTCCAAAAGGCCGACATGAAACGAGTATCTCGGTCGCTCACTATGTCTTTCGGAACACCCTGGTTGGTAATCCAACCTTTCCAACCGGTGTGCAAGAGTCGTGCGAGCTCGGGCGCTGCAGCATGATACTTGCAAGGAAGGAAGCGAGCATACTTGCTCAAACGGTCAACAACCATGAGAATACCGTCATGGCCATGGCGATCGCGGGGAAACGGGCCTGTCACGTCCATAGCAATGGAGAGGCGTGGTGCCCGAGGAATTGGCAATGGTTTCAGTTCGCCGAAGGGGACTCGGGATCGACCCTTGTTACGGTGGCAAACTGCACATGACTCAATGTACCTCGTGACGTCATGAAGGACGTCGGGCCAGTGAAAACGCTGGCGGAGGCGAGCTAATGTGCGGTTCACGCCAAGGTGTGCCGAAAGTCGTGCGTCGTGGAATTCGCCGAGAAGACGAGTCCGTAAGATGCGATCTTGGGGCACAACTAACAAGTCATTTCCTCTCGTGTGAAGG